GTTTAGGGGTTTAGAGGTTTATAGGGGTTTAGGGGTTTAGGGGTTTTAGGGGCTTAGGAGTTTAGGAGTTTAGGGTTTAGGGGTTTAGGGGTTAGGGTTTAGGGATTGTTTAGGGGTTTAGAGGTTTATAGGGGTTTAGGGGTTTAGGGGTTTTAGGCAAGATGTCATCGGACGTCCCATGCGAGAAGAACGCAAGAGAGGGTTTAAGGGTTTATTCTATTGTTTTGCAATGAATCCATATTTATAGCGTGTACTCTTCTTTTCTTTTGTGTACGGATTCATGTATTTTGTTTTCTTTTGTTTATATCTCCCATCTTTGGGGGACCGTTTTTGGGTGATCTCGGAGCTAGGGTTTCGGGTTTGGGGGTTTAGGGGCTCAGGGGTTCAGGGGGTTTAGGGGTTTTGGGTTTAGTGCTTAGGGTTTAGGGCATTAGGGTTTAGAGTTTTGTCTAGGAAGGGTTCCATAAGGGGTCAAAGGAGGTCAAAGCAGGAGTTTTGCAAGGACTCGCAGAAGGGATGGAGAAGAGGCCTAAATCGGGATTTCCATAAGCGTCCTCTAAGGGCTTCTATAATGAAGCTTCTATAGAAGAGTCTCTATGAGCATTCCATCAAGCTGTAAGAATTCTACAGGGTTTCGATGAAGAGTCGACAAGAGCTGAAAGCGGGTTCTGCACAGGGCTAAGTATGCATCTTCATACACATCGCATCTCCCGCTTTTCCGTGGACCTACAAAGTCGAATGTGACGTCCTAACGTGCAAAACCACGAGAAGCGGCCGGAAAACCCGAGGATCAACCTTTGAGGATCATGAAGCTCCATCAGCAAGAACCTGTAAGGAGCACATACAAGTAAGACTGAAACCCTGCACCAAGAGACTGAACATCTAAAGCCCTGCAAAACAAAAACAAATCGCAGCACCTCGAAACCGTTCTGAAACAAACCGATACGCGGGTAACAAGCAATTCTTCTTCTGCTTGTGCCCATGTCGCGTCGAAGTTTTAACAAGAGAGCCCAGTCCTCCAATGCTCCCAGCACCCCTTCTACCCCCCCCCACCACCGCGCAAATGTCACACACAGCCTAAACTGCAGATCCTGAAACCTGCAACCCGAAAACCGTAAAGCACGGTACCCTGTTCGCAATAGAATCCCAAGCCCTGTGAGAGCCGTAGCTTGTGACTCCTCTTCCACATCTTCAGCTGTCGCTGGAATGTCTGCAGCCTCTCGCATGGAGTAAGGATGCTGTGGGGTGAACCGTCTCAAAGGCTCAGAACAGGGGCCTGCAACAAACAGTAACGCTACATGAGATCTGCTCAAGTATACAGAGAAGCTGCAAACTCCATTTTCACAATCAACTCGACTGCTGCAAACTCCTAAACTTTAAAACCCTCCCAACCCTGGAGACCTCTACAAAGCCAAGGCTTTAGGGTTTAGGGTTTAGGGTTTAGGTCCTAAGCCCTAAACCCAAAGCATACAAATCCTATAACCCCGAAACATCCCCAAAGCCGTCTCGAGGCCTGCTCTCCGAAAGCTTCTCCAGCTGCCCTCCCCATCTCTTGGGGTTGCCTGAACTTAGGGTTTAATGTAGGGGCCTTAATATTTAGAATAGGGCTTTGGGGGTCCCTATATGATAGTATATTCATCTCTTGGAGTTGCCTGAACTTCGGGTTTAAGGTAGGGGCCTTAGTAATTAGAAGCCTTAGTAATTAGAAGTAGGGCTTTGGGGGTCCCTATATCATAGTATAATATACCCCCCAACCCTATTCTAATTATAAAGGCCCGTATATTAGATGGGTTTAGGGCTTAGCTTTGGCTGTCAGTATTTGTGTGCGGGTGGCAGACTTTAGAGTTTAAGGTTTCCTACAAGAGAAGAGAGAAGGAATGTCATTGAACAAGCCTATACGACCTTCAACCCAAAAAAGCCCCCTGAAACGAGAGCGAAATTGGCTACCACTATAAGGCCTCTATGAAACCCTATGAAACCTTAAAAAAGCGGTTTACCAAACCTCTAGAGCCGTTTCACACCCTACAAGACCCTTATGAAATCCCACTAATTAAGCCCATTCAAACCCCTACGGCATAAGATACTGTTTCAGAGCAGAAGACCTCAGAACAGCCCGTACGCAACTAAAGCCTAAACCCTAAACCCTAAACCCTAAACCCTAAACCCTAAACCCTAAACCCCTACACCTGCCAGGAGGCTTGGCGTGCCGCGCCACCTGACTCCAAAGATCCGCCGTCTCGCCAACTTCGGCCCTTGGGGGTTTGTACTGGGACGCTACTTGGAGGGTAAGGTTATAAGTCCCCTAATTGGGGTTATAAGTATAGTTACCTCAGGTATAACCCTACTGACTAAGTCCCATGATCCTTTAAGTAGGCGGTTTGGGTCCAATAGGTTTTTCTTGCCCTTTCTGTTAAAGTTTTGGCCAAAAGATACCTTTTGTTTGTCGATTTTCGGGTCCCAACTATAGCTGGACGAAGCCCGCATTGCAGGATACAGTCAAACTAAGTTTAGGGTATAGGGTTTATAGTTCTACAAAGCTGAAGCACCGCACCACATGTGGCAGCCATGGTGCACGCCACGGAGTGCTGCCACCAACGCCTGGCCAGGATCTGATCCGGACCTGTTGTTGCAGTCTCCGGTTTTGGGTTTAGGCCTTGGGGGCTTAGGGCTTAGGGTCTCTTGAACCAAGGAGTGGGGCTTTTTTGGGAGATCCTTAAGATGATGAGGAGAAGTTTCGTGACATTGGGGTGGGGGCTCACGTGAGAGTGCTTTTATATCAAGGAAGCGGTTCGTGACAATTAGCGCGGGAAGTCGCTTCTCGTTTCCGGGGCTCTTGATACTCGGGATCCGATCTCGATTTTCGACTAGTCTAACCTGTTCCAGGTGAAAGCCAATCAGTGCGCCCTGAACTGCCAATTCACATGCGCTTTTTTCCGGTCTGGGGTTGTGACTTCCGGCCCCATAGTAGTTCCTTTTTGGGATTACCTTATAGGATTCTAAATATCAACCCCAAAAAGGAACTTTTAATGGGGCCTATGCGTAAACCCTGCAAACCCTAAACCCTAAACCCCTAATACCCTAACCCTA